TATTTATTTATTATATNTGTGTATATATATATATATAGTAATATATATATATATATATATATATATATATATATATATGTGTGTGTGTATACTGTGAGTATATATATATATATCTATATATTTAAAAGTGGCTTGGTACAACTGAGTTGTTACATTGTTTGTATTTAGTTTCTCAGATGTAATTGTGTGACATTCCTATGAGTATTGTATGGTTAGACGAACGACTAAGAAGGACTGTCGGTTGACTAATTCTTTTGAGATGGCTCCAAATGGTAGGGTGATTGAAACTTTTCAGCTGGGTCCGATATGCGTGAGACACAATCATTACCCGGAACCTGTTTGAAGGCTCTCCATGCATTGTCGCTTACCATCGTCTGCACCATCTATACCGTAACCTAGGTTGTCCCATGACTCGGTACTTCAGACATCTATTATGTGCATTTACGTAAAAACTGAAGACGTACGTTTGCTTCCTACTCTATATCCTATCGCATGCTATGACTATGTATCTCCAGGTGCTACCAGCCATTCTGGGTGGATTGATTGATGATGACGATGACGTCAGGGCTGTGGCTGCGGAAGCAGCACGACCGATTGTCGATGTCATTTGCGCACATGAAGCCTCCAAGGTATGAGTAAAAGGACAAATTTATGGATAACAAATGTCACATTACTGCTTTTTCTATATTTATAATCGGGTTCAGATGTATATGTTTATGTATGTATATATATTTATATATGTATATCTATATATCTATATATATATATATATATATGTGTGTGTGTGTATGTGTGTATGTGTGTGTATGTGTGTTTGTATGTATGTATGACTGTGTCTGTGTCTGTTTCTGTTTGCGAGTTTTTACCTTTTGGGGAATACGAAGTGCAACCGTGAGGTGCCATGCAGTACATACGAATTTCGTATAGATTTGTGTATATATGCGGTGATAGGCAAAAAATCATCGGGTTGCTGTAAATACGAACTCACCTACTTTTACATGCGAACAAAAATGTGTCAACTTCGATAATATTAGATGACTTAAAAATTGTTTCATAGATGTGAGAGCAGCTTAAATACGAGCCATCCTGTCAGATTGCTCATTCGATAAGAATTCTGTAATTTTATATTCTCTGTGATTTGATTGGCTGACAGGTGTCAGAGCTGCTCAGCATACTATGGGATACTCTTTCAGACTTAGACGATCTCACGGCATCCACATCTAGTGTGCTGTCTCTGTTGGCTGAGTTACTATCGCACAAAGACGTTATGCTCATCAACGGTATGTGTTTCCGTCATGATTTCACTGAAGGTTTATTGCATAAAGCGTATCTAGAAGGTATAGCCTCATATACATAGATACGTAAAATATACGGGAAACATACGTGCAGATGAAGTTCTAGGTATACAATGTGCTCACCCTCCCGTACGTGTTAATGTAGGCAGCCGTATAACAGCGTGCCATATCGACTGTCACAGCATCCGAATATAGACCTTTCTTAGTTGGCATACCTATTTATATCCATTTCAGAGCGCGATCCGGATGCCCTGACATCGCTAGTGCCCAAGTTGTTCCCGTTCTTTCGCCACAGCACCACTGCTGTGCGAAAGGCCACGCTCAGGTGTCTCTCCATGGTCATCGGAAACGTCACACCTCTGTCTGAACTTGGTATGTATGCGTATATGTAGGATATACAGCTACACCTACACGGCTATATATGTACAAAAGTGTATATGTGTATATATATATGTTGAATTGTTCATCTCCCGGTGACTCTGTTATATATCTTGCCTATTTGCTCCACACTTTATTACCATCCTAAAAGTAGTCGCGCCGTTCATTGATATTTTTATTCTTATTTATATTTGTACCACTGCTCTACTAAGCTCAGTTCTATTCCAGCATTCCTTTGCTCATCTTCTCACTACCAGTTTGTCATTCTTAGAACCAGGTAGAGCTCCTCCTACGCGGCAGTGGCTTGAACCTATTCTACCGTTGATGGTCAAACATTTGTTCCAGAACATGTTACTAGAAGAGAAGCCCGCCATCACTGAACTCAACAACGAGGGTATGTATAGGTATTAAATATATGTATGTAAATGTATATGTATATATATATCTATATATATATATGTATAC